GATGATCTTCTCAAAGAGTTTCCCCAGGATTGAGGTAAGACTGACGGGCCTATAGTTACCCGGGTCCTCCCTCTTCCCCTTCTTGAAGATGGGGACCACATTTGCTACCTTCCAATCATCTGGCACCTGGCCCAAGCACCACGATCGCTCATAGAGCCGTGCCAGGGGCCCCGCAATAACCCCAGCTAGCTCCCTCAACACCCTGGGGTGGAGATCATCCGGACCCGCTGACTTGAACGTGTCCAGCCCCTCCAGAAGCTCTCTAACTAATCTTCTTAGTTTCTGTTTAGCTGCAGCAAACCTGGCTTTGACACTCAAAATATTTCGAAACTTTTGAAATGTTTCGAGTGCTGTCGTTTCGTTTTGAAGCTGTTTCAAAGTCTTTTGTTTCATTTTGATTTCACTGTTTTGAGCTTAAAACACGTAGAAACAGCTTTGAAACAAAACGCCCATCAAAATTTCACAGAGCCCTATTATATAACTAAATAAAAAATAACACCATTAAAATGTGGAATTTTACAAAAATTCAGGATAATATTTTCTAAAGTTTCTAAGCCCTATTGAAAAACAGTGGAATTCAGACACCCAAGTTCCTTAAGTGACTTTAAATAAAACATACTTAATGTATTGTCTGGAAGACTAAACTGCTTCTCTACTTAAAGAAAAAAAAATGATATAAACCTTTTATCTTAAAAGTACAACTGAATTAAAAAGTAAGACCATGCAACATGACACACAAACAAAGGATAAGTATGCTTACAACCTGTTATCTAACAAACAGCTTGAATTCTTATCTCTTCGGGGGATAAGAAAATTACATATTTTTCAAACAGAGTAGTGGTCAAGACACAGTATTGAAGTATTTGGGGCCTGACTTTCAGATATAATATCTAGCTCCTTTTAAATAACCTTTCAGTCATAGATCTCAAAGAACATTACGAGGGGAGTTTATTTTTCCCCCATGGCATATATGGGGAAAATGAGGCAGGAATGGGAAGTGGCTTTCCCAGCATCATTTAGGTGAGTAATAAAGATAGGAAAAAAATCAAGGTTTAGTGCTTTATCAAGCCTGACCATACTGCCTTCATTGTACATGAGGGGACCTGAGGCAGCAACATTCATGAGATCAATGCTTCCAGTGAATAAATTTTATTTAGCTAACTTCCCCAAGTCCAATTGGTTTAAACCACTCCAAGGAGCTCTGTCCTACTGGCATCTGCTATAACTGTCAATTTTGGAAGACTGGACCAGCAGTTCTTGCAGATCTGAGCCTTACATATCTAAAAAAAACCTTTGTTTGAAGTAGAAAACAATATGATCATGTTTCAGTTAAGTTCAAATAAGTGAAGGTTTATATTAAGAATTGCAGGCTATATTTGCTCTTTATGTGTTTATGTATGTGAGTATGTATTACTATTATTATTAGTGGTCTTAGTATTACTAATAGTAGAATTAACATTATTATAATGACTTGGCACTTTACAATTAGAAACATCATTCCCTACACCCAAACAGAGCTTAAGATCTAAGTCAGTGATGCCCACCCATCTAGTTCCACAGGCCAGATGAGTGGCATGGGGTTAGTCTGCAGGCCATCGGTCCATAAGTATGACCCCCTGTCCTCAGATCCAGTTTGATCTGTGGGGGCACTGATCAGCCCACCCCAACTCTACATACCCAAATTTAGCTGTGCATTGGCCTAATCTGACCCCATGTGCACAGATCCAGCTGTGTGCCAGAGCAATTTGGCATGCAGAATCATGTCACCTGGCATGCAGGACTCCCCACAGGTCCATACATTTGGCAGCAGGGGAGATGTAATTAATGCTGCTACGTGCCTCCACCACCAAATGCCCAGACAGGTTTGGAGCTCCCATGGGTCATATGACATAGTCCATGGGCCAGAGGTTGAGCATCCTTGGTCTAAGTGAAGCAAATCATACTAAGGAGCGCTGACAAAACTCTCTCCTTAGTTAATATAAATATTTGCTAGTTTTCTGAAGTACCTCTGTCGTCTTGTACAGAACAGGCCAGTAACAAAACTTGCTTGGACTTCTTTATGTTATTCTTTACTTTAATATAGTACCTTGATCAAAGCTTACCAATGTCCGAGCTGATAAACCAAATGGAATAATAGTAGATGGCTCTACAGACAAAGAATCAAAATCTTCTGCCAGCATTCTCTTGTAAAATTTTGTTCGGGGTTTAGCAGAGCCTTTTAAGATTGCATAGAAGCCTTGATTTCCAACAACTGAAATAAAAAAGCAACAAAAATAACTTAATTTTTCAATTCTTGGTTCATTTCATTTCAACTTGATTTATTTTATTATTTGCAATTAGAAATATATATTTCTATAAGTTGCAAACAAAATTGTACAAAAAATAAATTCAAACCTAAAAAAGGTATCTATATCTATAAGCTCAGTGTGTGTTTGCAGGAAAACTAATAATATCATTATTTTAAAGTGAAGATGGTCCTCGGAGGAAAAGGTGAAAAATCCTGCACAGTGTGTTTGAAATATTTACCACTTTATAAATATGCTTTTTTGAAGGCGCAACTATTTTCAATATAATTCCTGTAGTTTGTAAAGTTAGGAGATGTATCATAGAAAATTAAGGTTGGAAGAGATCTCAGGAAGTCATCTAGTTCAACCTTCTGCTCAAAGCAGGACCTTCCCCCAACTAGATCATTCCAGCCAGGGCTTTGTCAAAGTGGGCCAGAAAAATGTCCAAGGATGGAAATTCCACAGCCTCTCTAGGTAACCCACCCCAGTGTTTCACCACCCTCCTAGTGAGTTTTTTTCCTAATATCTAATCTAAACTTCCCTTGCTGCAACTCGAAACCATTGCTCCTTGTTCTGTCATCTGTCACCACTGAGAACAGTCTAGCTCCATCCACTTTGCAACCACCCTTCAAGTTGTTAAGGGCTGCTATTAAATCCTCCCTCAGTCTTCTCTTCTGCAGACTAAATAAGCCCAGTTCACTCAGCCTCTCCTCAGAAATCATGTGCCTCAGCCCCCTAACCATTTTCATTGCCCTCTGCTGGACTCTCTCCAACTTGTTCATATCCTTTCTGTAGTAGAGGGCCCAAAATTGGACACAGTACTCCAGATTTGGCCTCACCAGAGAAGAATAAAGACGAATAATTACTTCCCTTGATCTGCTCATGATGCTTCTGCTAATGCAGCCTAGTATGCCATTAGCCTTCTTCACAACAAGGGTACACTGTTGGCTCATGTTCAGCTTACTGTCCACTGCAACCCCCAGGTCTGTGAAATAATGTGAAAACTTTCTGCAGAGCTGCTGCTTAGCCAGTTGGTCCCAAGCCTGTAGCAGTGCATGGGATTCTTCCATACTAAGTGCAGGACTTTGCACTTGTCCTTGTTGAACCTCACAAGAGGTTCTAGCTTATGTAGGTGTGATGCTAGTAACTCACAACTACCTAAGAAAAACTAGCCCATCTGTTCTTTACGAAACACCATGGTATCCTGTTCTTCAGATAAAGAACAGCTATTTCCTTTAACCAGCCTGCAAAGACTAATAATCTTATATCAATCAGGTAGAATACAGTAGGAATATTGCTTTGTAAAGCTGGAGATCATTCTATAGATATAAACATAATAAAAATAAAAAATATAACAGCCTGTTTTGCTTAAGGCTGTAAGATAAACATATATTGCAATGGCAGATGTAATAGCTCCTTATACAATGTAAGACCAACAGCTTCTGGGACTCAAATGTTTGAACATTTCCCACTTTATGAACACACATTTTTGAAGGCAGAATTATTTTCAGTGTAGTTTATTTTAGTTTGTGAATATAGAAGATACAGCTCTCAAATTTCTGAAAATACAGGTGCAAAATTAGCATGCTTTGAACAACTAAACAATCATATTTTGATCTAAGATCAATAAATGGATTCCTGTTGGGTCAAAGTATATAAATCTAAGACAGACATCTAAAGCTCATATGTGGAAACTCCAATCAGTACCGAGATGGCAAATTATTCATTTTAAATGTTAATGTGCCAGTGAAAGACTAAATGCAAATACTTACAAAAAATATGAAGTACAAAGCAAGTACCACTTGCTCTAGGATTTTTACAGTCTTTCCGGTTGTGACATTTCACCCTATGCTTCACTCTGTTTACTTCAGTCCCTCATAGATCCACGCAGTCATTTTTGAACAGCTCAAGTAAAAGCTGAAACACTCTTTTGACTATCTGCACTGTCTGTTCATAGATTTTCAAGCCAAAGTAGCAAAAAATCACGTGTGTCACCAGAAATCTCATTTGGTTGAGAGACTACATTTATATCCTTATTGTGTTCAATAAGTAGCGTTCCTACCTGTCTCATTCAGCAAAAACTGATAAAACTTTCATTCTCTTTCAGTATAAACCTTGCTTACTCTTATCCAGAGGGACAGCATCTCTCACAGGTAGTTTTTATTTCAAGAAAATAAAAGGCAGGTTTAGTGGCAGATGTGTCTAGTAGTTCAGAGTTGAATAAGCTCTTCCATCAGCAGAAAGGGCTTTTCTTGGCCCAGTCTGCCAACCTCACAGCTATGGTTGCCAACATAAATGGACAAATCTTCATCTACCAACATCTCCTTCTCTAGCACTGTGTTAGAGTGCTCTCGAGGCTGTAACTATGTTTGACTTGCTTTACTCTGTAATGTCAATTCAAAAAGAACCTGGAGGATGCAGTAACATGAAGGAAAAAGAATGCCTTTGGGGAAAAAAAGTGACCGCTGCAACTCTTGAAGCAAAATAATATAGCTTTTTTTAAAATCAAGAATCCATAATCATCACATGAAAAAGAAGAAAATTCCCATCTTCTGTAGCTGTTGTGAATTGTTCCAGAAAAGTGCTTTCTTGGGCCCTGGCTTTGTCTCTCTGAATACCCCTTGAAGACAGCCCAGACACAGTGGGGGAGGAGTGAGCCTTGGTTCTGGGACCCTGGCCATTCAGTCCAACAACCATCCCTGGTTATCCATGACCCTCCCTCAGGGAGCTATCTTCCAGCTCAGCATTTGAAAGAGGGACTTTACCTCTTTGAAGGGAAAAGAAGTGCATCCCAAGTTCTGAGCAGCAAAGAAGACAGCTCCACTTTCAATAAAGGTCTTTACTGAGAAAAATGTCAGGTAGCAAGATGACCTTCTTCCTTCCAAAGGGATAAGCTGTCCCTCTCCCTAATTCAGTCCACACAGTCCTGATCACCCCAATTGGCTTTGCTGTTTCCTTTCCAGTTTTTGCAGCCCTAAGACAGAACCCTCCTATTCAGGCTGCTCTTTCCATTATCTGAAGTCTGGCTCTGGCTAGAAGATGGTATTTAGAGACTTGCTTTTGGGAACTGGCTTGTAGGTAAAGTAGATGTGCATTAGAATAATGGT